AAAAAAAAAATAAATCTTGGGATTAAGTTTTAAATAAAGATGAACAACAATACAATGCGTCAAGGAATGGTCAACAAATATAATAGATTTGCTGGGATTTGCGATAATATATTCACCACAAGTTGAAATCTATGTATTTGCGGATGTTTCCATTGTGTGTTTTACAACTACGTATGAACTCAATCTATGAGACTATAAATTCAAAGTCATTTTTGATTTATGCCAAATCCTGAATTGCTCTAACCAAAGATATATCTATATCTAAACTTGAGTTATTATCTATATTAAGAGCAGCGCAGTTCATACCAAAATAGTTTTGGAAAATAACCCTGTTACACTGTGGTCAGACCCTAAATGTGCTCTCTATTGGATCAAAAATTATACAAAATTACTCCCACGATTTGTGCAAAACTAAGTCGCAAGAATACAGAAAACAAAATTTGTGTTTTGCTATATATCGAGTGAATAAAATCTACAAATTTAGCTACCAACAGTCTCTCACTGATTAAACTTCGAAATTGCAACAGTGGTCGAAAGGATCTCAATCGTCTGAAAGGAAAAAATCGGACTAGCCACAATGTAAATTTGAATATAGTGGTAGTAATGAATTTGAAGAAACCATTATTACGAAAATTGCAAAGATAATTCGAAATTTTGAAAGAAAAATAATTCACTTTATTTTGTATAGTAAATGGATAATTACTGAGAAGACTGTTTGATTTTTGAAATTTTTTAAACTAACCTGCGGAAAGAAATTTTGTTCCTACCATTATTTATTAGAAGAAATTACAAAAAAAAAAAAAAAAATGCAAAGTGGATATTAACAACACAGGCATAATCAGAAGGAATAACAGAAGAGGAAATCAATATATGGAGCCTCTATCAAGATGAAACTAACAAATAATGGTGATCAAAAAGACATCTGTGAACTTGGAATTAGACGATAGAGGAAAATTTCTTATCTATTTATCAAATCATATCATTAGCGAGTTTCCCATTAAACAGTAACATGAAGAAATATGTCAAATAGGAATTATTAATGCTATTAGCTAATATCATCTCAAAAAAATAATTTGCGATTAATTATTTCCATTCATCTTAAAACTGTTATTATATTACCTGTTCTGCATTATTCACTAGTGAACAGATCACATTTTGATATATATCCTTAATTTTATCATTTTCTTCACATATGGTTCGTTCTTTTATAGTTAACAGTAACAGAGAATAAGAAATGATTTAAGGTTGTATTGAATAGAATGATAAAGAAAGATTAAGTTTTTTTTTTTTTTTTTTTTAAGAATTTGCTAATCAATTAATATTTTTATTGTTAAGTGTTTATGGTAGTGAAGAATATGTTTTGTTTTTAACTGATGAGGATCATTTATTTAGTCAGATTAGTTTAATTTTTGCTTCTATTTGAATTGCTATCCCTGGTATTTCTGTTTGGGGACATCATATATATATATACGGTTGGGCTGGATATTGATACTCATACTTATTTTAGTGCTGCTACTATAATTATTGCTATTCCTAGCACTGTTAAGATTTTCAATTGATTAGGTACTTTTTTCGGTTCTAATCAAAAGGTTTAACCAATTTTCTTATTTTATAGAATGCTTGTTGCAGAACTTCCAAACATTTTTGACATCCTCCAGCATTTGGATAATGAACTTAATAAGACTTTATAAATTACAAGAATTTCTGTTAATAACGGAGCAGATAATTATTTTACCTTTCGTTCAATTTATTTTTTATGGACTGATCTTGCATTCTTTACCTTACTTGCTTAATTGAAGCATGGAAAAATTATAAGAGATGCGTTTAATTTAATAAAGGCGAAGTTATAAAGTTTTAAAGGGAGTGTTATATGTCGCAAAACTCGAAATAATCTCGCGAACCTCCAAATAACTTACAAAATATATCAAATAAAGTTGTATTAATCCATAGTACTAAAATTCGTTTTAATTGGACATTAGAAATGTAAAGCTGTTTCAAATTATACATAATATAAGCAACATTATTTCAACATTCATCTTCCCATCGCAGTTGAGCTTATCTACTTTTGATAACAAAGGGTATGTGCATTGTTTAATACGTTAAAAATTACTTTGTTCAAAATCAAATGTGCTTGCAATGTCGAAATACTGTAAAGGTTTTCTAAAGCGATAGTCATCCTTTGAGAAGCTACGATAACCCTATAAAGAGGAGAGATCATCAGCTGATAGCTCCTCACTCAATAATCATGTTCTTGTTGAAAGTCAATGTCCACTATATAAGAATTTAAATCCTTTGTCTCAGTCAGTTTTATTACCTTACCAGTAAGCTACAATTCGACTGCTCTCCGTCACTCACTATTCAGTTCATTTCCCCATCAATTTGTTCATTTATACATTTTCTTCATCAAATTCATAGATACTCTACGAAATTATCAGTATTGTTGCTTTAAATTAATATCTATGTGTTGTGGTTGTTAGAACATAAAATCGTTACAACATACTATCATTCAATGCATTCATCCACACCAACTACAATAACAAACAAGGAAGGTCTTTGAGCATAACAAAGTTGTATTCAAACTGAACCCCAACTTTCACAATATTGTATGCTTTTCAGCATGAAAGATTTGCTAACAACCTGCTTAGCAGATGTGACAGGAGGTTGGCACATACGATGGGCAAAATGCCCACAAGAAATGTAAAGAGAGTGAGACAGAGAAGACCAAAATGGAAGAGGAATCGGCATTCAGGAGCCGGAATTTAATATAAAAGAGGCAAAGTGGCTCTTTTATATTAAATCTTTTTATTTTTGAAAATGACAACAAAGTCGAGGGTTCCCTAGCAGAAGCGCAGCGGGTATCTTTATTGCCAGAAGATAGCGAAGAGAGCTCTAAGATGGGGTAGCATCGGTGAAAGCAAGTGGTAATGAGGAACGACAGGAAGCAATCCGAAATCGTCATTAGGTAAATGGTGAAACTTACTGGTTTAGTGTTGGGAATTATTTGTTTTCGGTGAGCATTGCTTAACACACTTGAATATTTGCTGAAGGTCGGTTTTCTTCTTTTTCAAAGGATTCATTACTTGTTGATTTTGGAGGGATGCGCTAGGACGTGAATAGCAATAGTGTAATAATATCAAAATATGTAGTAAATTATGAGTAATATAGGAGGAGGAGTAGTAGTTCAAGCCAAATCTGTACAACTATAATGTCATTTGTATAACGCACAAGTATATGCATAGAGTAGGGCTTGTTTACAATAAACATCCTGATAAATTTGTCTAATAAATTCCTACTGGGTATGTATGAACAAAAAAAATTATGTAAAGAAAGTTCTGATTAGCAGAATGATTGAAACACGATGATTATCAAACCGGAAACACTTACATGTATATTGGTTTCCGATATTTTAACTATCATTAAATTCGGTAATTGGAAACAAAAACGGAATTGTTATGAACAATCATATAAAAATCACAGTATAAAACAACAGAAGCGACAGACATAGCATATTCGTCATATTTGTGGTAAACTAATAACAGAGTAATGAGAGGAACACATATGACACGTGAAAATACCGAAAGCAAAGCGTATTGATGATGTTTACAAATTTTCTATCCAAAAAAAAAGTCAATACAATTCATTTGATAAAAAAACAAGACATGTAATAGGTACATATTTAGAATTAAAAAAGGCATAAATACATATTTAGAACTAAAAAAGGCATAAATAAATTTTTGAAATAATCAAGTGGGCAGAATTTTTTGCATCATGTTGCTGAAGAATTGTAATATTTCATTGCTTTCTTAGTTAAAATTGGTGATTAGTAAATGTAATGCAAATTAAGAACTAAGTTGCAATGACAAACAAAGGGATTAGTTTCAGCATGAAACATTATATGAAATATAAAGCTCAAGGAAAAGTCTTCAATTTTGGACTCATCGGACTCGAAGATCTGAAAGCAAAATTTAATTTGGTGATCAGATTACAACACTTTAACAATAAAATTGAGACTCAGCTATAAAGAGAAGACAAATTGATAAACAGCTTCTTGGTGGAGTCCGGTCTTATACTTGGCTTAGCATTCAACTAATACAGTCTTTAATCTTATAAATTTTATAGAAATTTGTTATAACCCAGTTTCTTGATATGTTCTGTTAGTTAGTAATTTATTTGTGGATGTAGCACAGACTAAGTTTGTAGTAACAATACAAGAAAATTAGTTGCCCTTGAAACATCATGTTAAAGCAAAACTTTAAAAAAATTCTTCAAAAATTTGTCTAAAGTTTGTGGAAGGGTGAAATTGTGTGGTTAATGTTTGCTTTAACAGCTTAACATTGAAGAAATGGAATGAGGATGTGGTATGGAATTACTACAAATTGGTAATAGAAAACGGCAAATGTTACATGTTGTAACTGAATCAGCAAAAGTTTGTTGACTTTTTGCAAACTATAACTTTTGAATAGAAAGAATAATTATCATCAATAAAAACGAAAAAGGGAAAAAATTATATATTTAACGGAAGTAGCAGAAAAAAGATGTTGCATTTAGAATGTTGTAAAAGAGTCGAATTTCGCAAAATTGCGACCTCTGAATAGAACAGATTTTTGATGCTTCAAAATTGAAAGCACATTTTTAGAGCAATTTGGAAATATAAAAGCAAGTAGTACGCCTAAATAAAATTAAGCTAGATTTTATTTGAAATATACAAAGGAATGCAACATTTGCAAGCATTGATCATCGATTGCGAATGATACCTTAACAATTCATAATCATTCATTCCAGATAGTTAATAAATAAAACCAAAGACCACAGTTGTACTCGTCATTTCGACAGGTAGGAAGAGAATGAATGGTACCACTATAAATTTCCATTCTCAAATGATCCTAAGCCTTGAAAACACCAATTTAGGTGATGTAGAAAATTCGATGATAGGTTCTGTCTATAATATTGTATTATTTCATGTTCAGATATTTATTTAGGAACTTCATTGATATTTTAGGATGATCAATCAAACAATCACAGCTGCACTGCTTCTTTTTGCGAGTTTTCAATTTGTAGTGATATTTGGAGAAATGTACGTTGGAGAACTAAAAATTTCTGAAATAACAAATATTTTTTGAACAAACTATTCAAATAGCTATTGCTAATGATGTCATTGCTAGCATCTTACCATCAACAAAAACACTTTTTTTTTGTTATATTTTTAATTTTAAATATATTTTTTAATCTTAAATTTTTTCTTCAATAAACTTTTCCAGTTCGTCGACGGACACTGCACAGTTCGACTTCGCTGTTGCTTTGATAAAAGAAATAGCACAGAACGATGAATCAACGATTTCATCCCCTGCTTCAATATCAACCGCACTCTTTATGCTTTATCTCGCAGCTGATGGTGAAACCAAGCAAAAATTGTCGGAAATTCTTGGAAGAAGTAATTACAATTTTGAAGAATAATTTAATCGAGCAGTTTAATCTACTTTTAGGTCATTGGAAAGTTTCTTCTTGGCACTAAAAATGCCATATTGATCAAAGTTCATAAATATTTAACTGATTCTTTTAGATGCAAGGAAAACACAAATTCAAGAATATTATGGTAAATTATTGGCAAGTAGCGATGGTACAAAGAGTAAAAGTTATATGCTAAATATAGCAAATCGTTTATATGTACCAAAAGAATTTTCAATAAAGCCGAGCATTCCCCATATATTTCAATTTTATTTTGGCGAAACGCTACATAGATTCAATGATGGACGAAGTGGTCAACTTATTAAGGCATGATTAATGATAAAAAATAAAAATGAATATGAAGAAGGGATAAGATAGTTGTTGTTATTGTTGTTTTTTAAATTTATTTATTCCTATTGCTATTTCCAGAAAATTCAATTTTGTTCATTTGATCTGCGATTTTCGATTAAGTACCGCAACATAATTCTTTTTTTCAGGAAATTAATAGATGGGCTTCGAAAAACACCAACAATAGGATTGTGGACTTGATGGAAACGACCAAAATTAATTCACAAAAAACCAAAATGCTACTGCTGAACACAATTCACTTTGAGGCTGTTTGGAGGAAACCGTTCTTCACCGATAAAACTCAGAATGAAATGTTTCAAGTTTCTAAAAGCAAAAAGATTATGGTAAATGTTTTGTTGAATATTATAGTTAGAACAATCTATCAAATTTTTTTTTTTTTTCTTTTCTGCATTTATTGTTTGTTCCAAATATGTTTGTATGTTAAGCGATTACATCGTGTTCAGATGCCAATGATGCAATTAAATGCAGTACTGAAGTATTACGAAGACAAACTTGTACAAGTTGTCAAGCTTCCTTATGTCAGCGATAAAATAGAAATGGTAATTATATTGCCAAAAGCTCGTTTTGAATTACATAAGGTTCGCGAAGAGATGACAGGAAGGCATTTAAGACGGTACATTGAAAATGCTGTGCCAACTAAAGTAGAGGTAAATTACTATTTTTTCTTTTTTTTCAAACAAATTACGAGAAATCATACGGAATGATGTGTTATGATAAGCAATTCTGAGTTGCCATTTGTCCGAAAAAACTCGTAAAGCAAGCACTTGCAGCAAATAAAGCAATTTCAAAGTGATCAGCGTGAAAAAATTTCTTCCTTGTCAAATTAATTTCTATAAATGTATTTCATTGGCTGAAATTCTTGCATTTTAAACATTTTGAGAACCTCTTAGTAGATAATTTGTCAGTTCAAAGTAAATATTTCAGGAACGAGAAAAACTTATCACGACGAAAATAGATGTTAATGAATCTAATTTGTTTTTTCAGCTAAAATTACCAAAGTTCGAATTGCAACAAAAGTTGGATTTGGAGGATGTTTTGAAAAAGATTGGCATCACATATATTTTCAGTAAAAAAGCTAACTTCAATGCACTTAGTGACAATTCAGTTTCTATTAGCAATATTATACACAAAACTTCATTTGGGGTTTGTTCGATGTCAATTTTTTGGTTCAAAAATTTGCATACCTAGAAACTATTGGGTTTTATTTACCGTCAAATTTTTACAGGTAAATGAAAAAGGGACGGAATCTACGAAGGAAACTGGATTCAATTCTCCAAGTTTCATATTTCCGTACAGTACTGTGTTCAATGCTAATCATCCATTCCTGTTTTTTGTTATTAGGAAGTCTCAAGATGTTCTGTTTGCTGGTGAATGTTGCAAGAAAACAAATAAGCATATAAGTTTTACGGATGATTCAAAAAATTCGCTGTATCAAACGTTGTTTCTTATTTAAAGCCTAAAAATTTCGATTTATACATTTCACTTATGTTACAGAGTTAATAAATTACTTCTAACAACTCGTTAATTTTCTGCAAATCTTAGCATTATTTCCTATTTATTCATATCTCTGGACAAAGATAAGCAAATGGTTAATGTCACCAACAAAGTGGGAAAGTAAAAACAACGAAGAGAAATAATATGATATTGATTAGAATATTGATTAGCCATAACTAATAAATAAGAAAACAAACTATTATTTCAGCGTTTAGAGATAGATATATGCTTGAGTAAAATTGCATTTGATCCAATTCAGTGTTTAAGTAAATGTATTCCATAGCATTTTCTAATTATCATTTGTCGCACCTGGAGATTAAATTCTCATAATTACAAATATTTTTAAATTGTCATCATGTTAAATTAAATTATCATAATATTATTCAAATTGCCATAAAGTTATTCAAATAATCAAAATTTTTTTATGATAACAATCTACACATGTACGTGTTTCAGTAATGTTTATAATACTTAAATCCAAGAAAAACCCAAGGTTTGGCAATCAAGGAAAGGCATATAACTGCTTAGTTGAAATAATTGAGTGAGCAAAATTGACGCACATCATGTTTCACATCATGTTGCAATATTCATTGTTTCGTTAGTTAGTTTTTATAATTTATTTGTTGATGTAGTAACATATATGACAGCAATTAAATATGAAGCTCAAGTAAAAGTGAAATTATATGGTCAATATTTGAGAATTTTAATAGGCTAACATGAAAGAAATGCTATGATGATGCAATATAAACTGGATTGTGATAAAATTTTATAATGAAATTTTATAACCAATAACTACTCATGTTTTCCCAAATGACTTTTATTTACAATCAAATAACATTTTTTTGTTTATTGGATCAATTAACTAATATTTTATTATCCTTTGTTTCAACCTTTACACCGTATTGCATTGCTAATTGGTTAATGAATTTTCATTATGGGTGAAAAAAAAATTGGATGAATCCAATTTTGATAAAGATTGTATTTTCTGATATCATGGTGCAAAGGCATGAACAGAAGAATTACTCGAAATTACTAAATGTTATCCACTAACTTTTGTACTACCAATTATAATATTACATTTCTTGAAACTTATCACCATTCAAGAATTTCAATTTGCTTATTCCGGAGTAATTCGAAAGGCTCATTTAAATGGGAGAAAGTAACAGAATCACAAACTTCTTGCGTGAAAATCCCACTACAGTGTACAGTTCAGAATCTTGTCAACATCATTTTGTCACAAGCTGTATGTTGTAGATAACTAGAAGGATTAGAAAATGAAGTTAGAGAATTGATAAGAAAACACAAACTCCAGACAGTAATTGATGAAATAAGATTTTCTTAATGTCCGCATGCCGAATAAATTATGCATGTATTTTTTTTTTTTTTTGTGACTAAAATTTGGACTGAAGGAGAATTTGAAATTATTAATAAGGCTGTCAACATGTGCACACCTATTTCTTAATAGATTTATTGTAAAAAAATCAAGTCGCATCAAATATCAACATTTTGCAAAGCTTGAAATTCAAAGTATTATTCAGAGGATCATTTCACATATTGACCTATGAATAGAACAGTCTTCAAATTGTCAACAATTGCAAAGAGGAATGGATGATCAGCAACAAAACGACGCTGCGTACCCATACGATCTATTAAATCAACTACTGTGGCAGCCGTTGATTCCGTTCCTTTTTCATCTATCTGTAAGGAAAAGAATAAAATTTACAATTTCCAAAAAATTTCAAAATATTCAGAAAGAAACGATTGTTAATTTTCCATTAAAAGAAAGTTCACACTAACCTCAATGAAGCCTGCATGCATAACTTTGCCAATAGAAACTGAAACTGTATTATTTACTAGCTCTCCAAAACTGCCTGTTCCACTGAAAACATCTGTGATGCCAATTTTTTGTAGAGCTTCTTTCAGATCTAATTTTTCTTTCACTTGAAATTTTGGTATAATGACCTGAAGTAACTCCGAAATGACAGAAAGAACGGAATAAAATAAAGGTAGCAAGCAAAAATAAGCAACAAATCCATTGGAAATGCTTTTTTTTTTTTTGTCACCCATAATTTTATGCACTAATTTGTTTAGCGAAGTTAATTACAATTGAATGAATCACTTACGGTAACGTAGTTTTTTTTTGCATCATTAATATATTTGAATAGATCTTCACCCGTTAATTTTGCTAGAACATCAGATAAGCCGAAGCGTGCTTTTGGCAGTATGAAAACCATTTCTATTTTAGGGCGAGTATAAGGTAGTTTGATAACTTGCACAAGATTATCTTCGTAATAAAGCAATTTAATGTCATTCATCATCATCGGTATCTGAACGAAAAGAAATGGTGATGAAAAAGTGCACATGTATTTATTTATTCAATGTGTAAGCATTCTAAAATAAATTAGAGGCTGCTAATTGTAACAAATATTAACATATTTACTCGTTTCATTTCGTTTTCAGAAATGTGAAATTCTCTTTCTTTGGTCAAAATCTTCATGAATTGTTTTTTCCAAGTGGCTTTGAAGTAAATTGCATTCATGAGCAAAATATTTGTATCCTTGTTGATACTGTCCTCATTTATTAAATCTTTAATTTTCTTGTTTGTTTTACTCGAAATCCATTTATTGATTTCCTAAAAATATATTAAAATTGAACATTAGCGCAGTGTTTGGTTATTTCGTTCCAAATTCATTAATTGGTGTTCGTGTAGATTTAATCTAGTACATATATATTATTTCAGCCTCACTTCTCCATCTTCATATCATTTTTGCATTTCGTCAATGAACATACCTTAACAAATTCCTTCCTCTTCTCAAAACTAAATTCATGCATTGTTTCGTTGTAATACATTCGGAGCATTCTTTTGAAGCTGTCTTTTACAGAAAATCCCTCCCTTATGCAAAAACGATTTGCTACATTCAACTTGTATTTTTTGCTTTTTATGTTTGCGCTATCAGCTATTTGATTGGCGAAGTATTGTCGAAGATCAGATGTCCTTGCAGCTGAAAATTAAAATTAGTCAAAATCATTTTATTTCTGAAATATAATATATTCTTCCAATCATGACATTTTAGGCTACTGAAACCTTCGCTGCTTTGGTAATAAAATACAACTCATAAGAAAAAAATCTTAAATTCAAATATTTTCACTCTATAGTTACTTCCACCAAGAATTTTCTGCAATTGCTCCTTCGTTTTGCCATCCGCTGCGAGGTAAACCATAAACAGTGAAGTTGATACAGAAAGAGGAGATAGAATGGCTGATTTATCGTCCTTCGCTATTTTTTGCATTAAGCTCACCGTAAAGTTAAACAGCGCATGATCTAGCAATGAACTAAAAAAAGATCGTTAATGATGAGAAATAAAAATTCTGAATTTGGAAATGTACTAAGAAAAAAGTATCATTGATGATGGTTAGACACTAACAATAGCTTAATTATTTCATTACTGTGAAATGTCTTTAGGAAAGCTTTAATTTTTCTACGTACAGTTCTCCAAATATCGATACAAACTGAATGCTTGCAAATAGAAGTAATGCGGTGATGATTGCATAATTCATCTTTCTGAAATACTAATCTAGTACTCAACCTGCTGAAATAATGGAACACAAATAATGCTCTCGAATCCCGTAAATATAATTATGAAAGCTTGGAATTAGCTCATAATCGAATATATAAAGCAAGAATTGCTGCTCCGTGGTCCAGCTTCATTTCTACCATCTAAAATAGATTGGAACTACACAAGCCAGCAAAGTGTGGTGTCAGTAAGCTGGAAAGTATTTATATCACTGAGTTAAGTAAATTATCGATGTTTGTTTGTTATTTTCAACTCGCAACCATTTACTCTTTCATTTCATATCTACCCCTTTAAGGTTACATATACATTTTGCAGACTGAAAGTGAGTGAATGCATTTATTTGTTTTTTTTTATCGTACCATTCACTTGTGCAAACATTACCAAAGATTGTTTTCTGGTTATTCATTATTATTGGAAAAAATTTTTGTACTACATTTTTTTCAATTCTTGATAAACGTAGTATCTCAGGCAAAAATTTACATGAGACAAAATTATTTCTTTACTGTTGTTGCTCATAAAAATTTGATCATCTATCAAAACTTCTAAATATTTGCCATGTCATTTCATTTTTTCAAAAAATTTAAAAAGTTTTCCCTAAGTTTCACATCCAATAAAATGTTTCAAGCTGCAAGCAATTCTCTGTTTAATTCTTAATTTGTATTAAATCTACGAAGAAATCACAAATTCCTGCTAACAAAACAATGAATATTGCTATTCTTTGATAACATAATGTAAAACGTCAATTTTCCTTATTAGATTATTTCAAATATACATTTTTTTTTCAGCAGCAATTCTTGAATACAAAACTTGTAAACATCACTGATATATAGTACCGTTGATACAATGAGTTGTAGAATGAAACAGTGTCTTCTTCATATCTTATCAGAAATATTTTGTTAACAGTCAAAATGTTAATTTCATACTTCTATCATTGTATAATCATTTCTTTTTATCGCTGAAAACATAAGCTAACGAAATTTGATCTTTCAACTTTTTAATATTATAATTTGAAAATATTTACAAATATGAGAATTAATTTTAAATTTCTAGGAAAAATTTATTTTTTTCATCCTTTCTGCTGAATTATGCTTTCATTCCTATAGGTCAGGCTTTAAATTCGTACTGAATGAATTTCTTTAGTTCTGATTAAACAAGGTTAATGTTTAAATTAATCAATTTACATTATGTTAATTGAAATAATGTCAAGTGTAAGTTTGAGTATAATTCATTCACATTTTCTTCAGGTGCAACTATCTAGTGGGAGTCCAAAGATATGCTTCTACCGCAGCAGAAATGACAAATATTGTTATTAATTTACTCGAATTTTGAGAAAGCTTCAGCGTCTATATGTTGCTTAAATATAATTACTTGCTTAATACTATTA